CTGGATTGATATCCAGACCAGAGACTTTACTGAACTCATTCATACAGCTATGAAGTTTGACAATGGAGTTCATATCAGCTCTACCAAAGAGAAGAAGATCATCAGCAAAGAATAAATGTCTACCAAAGAGAAGAAGATCATCAGCAAAGAATAAATGGGTGATGTTTAATCTTGAGCATTTTGGATGAAATTTGAACAACCTATCATGCTTGAGAGTATTCAACTTTCTAGACAAGTATTCCATGCCGAGAACAAATAAGTATGGGGAAAGAGGATCTCCTTGCCTCAATCCTCTGGCCCCTTGGAAGGTGAAGAGAGCCATTAAGGGATAGGGAAAACTTAGGAGTAGTAATGCATACCATTATCCATTTCACCATAATGTTTGGAAAGCCCAGACCTATCAGCATAGCTTCAATGAAATCCCAATTTATAGTATCAAAAGCCTTTCATAGGTCAATATTAAGGACAGCTCTGGGGGAAGTTTGCTTCCTTCCATAATGTTTGATGAGCTCATGAGCAAGAAGGATATAATCTTTGGCAATCTTATTTCCAATAATCTGCATTTTACCATCCCCAGCCAATTTGGTTTCTAACAGAGCTAAAAAAGAGATTTTATGATCCTGGATAATTTTTTTAACTATCCCATGTTTAGAGGATTTGTTAAACCCTCTAATATTCCAAATTGCCAAATGCATTTATTAAGCTATCCCCCCTTTCCCTCCTCTATCAGAATTGGAGGGATCCAATTCACAGACCTGGTGATCTAAAATAGAGAAGTGTGAGGATTGAATAGGTGAATCAGAGGCATTCATAAAGACTCTTTTTGCAGCACGAGAACCAGATACACTAGTAAATCCAACTTGCTGTTTGCCAGTAAAAAGAGTAGCAAGCCCCCCAGGCACCTGTTGCATATGACCCTTATCTTTCACCTTTCCAGCTTCATATGCATGTTGTAAAGAATCTAAAACATTTTCTCCAGAGACATGTGTAACTTGTGCATGTACCCCCTGCTGTGCATGTTTTCTCACTTCCAGGATATTTCTATCAGCCAGAGAACTCTCAGCTTCTTTCCCTCTTCCAGCTTCATATGCATCATGCTGTAAAGAGCCAGCAACATGTGTAGCTTGTACATGTCCCCCCTGCTGTGCATGTTTTCTCACTTCCAGGATATCACTATCTGTCAGAGAATTCTCAGTATCAGTTTTCTGAAGATTCTGACTTGAACATGCCTCATTTACAATAGTTTCCTGTTTATCACCAGATTGGTTAGCTACAGGCTTTTTCATCACCCAAATCTTCTTAGTATCATTCCTCCTACACTGATGAGTTTCATGCCCTACATTTTTGCATAGAGAACACCATCTAGGCTTAAACTCATATAAGACCTTTTGGTAATAGCTTATACCATTAGGGCCCTGAATTTGAATTTGATCAGGTAGGGGATCAGTTAAAGGGAGCTTCACTTCTAACAAGACTTTGGCATAACTCAAACGTTGCCTCGTGGCAGTAAGTTTATCAGTAGTGTTAGGGCACCCAATCAAGCTAGCAACCTTGCTTATACCAGTGGAATTCCAAAGATTCAAACAAAGATTAGGAAACTGAACCCAAATTGGATATGAATGATCCTGAAGTTTCTCAATATCAGTTTCAATTGTCCATGGCTTAAGAATAAGAGGTCTTGAACCAAAAAACCAGGGACCTGCTTCCAGAATATCTCTCATATTACTGTCAGATTGGAATTCAAACAAGAAAATCCCTTGCTTAAGTAAGAAAACCTTTGGAATAGATATTCTGCTCCACAATTTAGAGACATAGGACTCCATAGATTTAAATTTGACATTCATCCCAATTACATGTCCAATCAAAGTAAATCTCCATAGATTTAAATTTGACATTCATCCCAATTACATGTCCAATCAAAGTAAATTTCCAAAGATTTTCCCCTTCCTTCCATTCTTCATCGTTGAATGTAACAGTGTTTGTTTTAGAAGAAGGAACAAAATTTAATGGTAAACCACATCCCGATTTTCTATTATCAGAAAAAAGACTAGCAAAAGATTTCTTATCTTCTTTCACATTGGCATCTAGATTCTTAACCTCATCCTGATCAAGGTCATTTAGCTCATCAAAATTAGGAGAAGTTTTATCCTCCTCCAAAGACACATTTCTATCTGTAAAAGGGGTGAAGATATCCTCATTACCATCTCCCAAAGAGGAAATAGCAACTGGATCTGAGCCAATACTTTCCTCAATTTCATCAGCCCAAGATAGAGAGGAACTGAGCTGACGAGATCTAAAACCAGCATCCATTTGAAGAATCGGCAGATCTGAACAAGAACCAGCTCTAGCAAGAATATCATTCATCATCAGCTTCTTCTTTGCTCCCTTTGGACCCGTACTCTCCATCTCCATTTCTTGAGAGATATGAGAGTTAACTGTTCCATCCAAGATCTCGCCAGCATTGAACGAGGACTCACCAGTAGCCGAAGATTTATAGATGAAGATCGAATCCCTCAGCTCTCCACTCAAGATTCCTTTGCTTCTAGAAAATAAAGTTGATAGTACACATATCTCTTCATCACGATGATAATGTTGAACATCGAAAATGTTGAACAGCCATATATGAAAGCGATGCATGAATGTGAGGGGAAGATGATAGTCGGTAGCGTAAGGATTATTTGAACAGCCATATATGAAAGCGATGCATGAATGTGAGGGGAAGATGATAGTCGGTAGCGTAAGGATTATTAAAACGGTTAATTGCAGCAATAATGCATGAATGTGAGGGGAAGATGATAGTCGGTAGCGTAAGGATTATTAAAACGGTTAATTGCAGCAATATTGGTCTATTTAATAGCACACATATCTCTTCATCACGGTGAGCATACTAACAAAACCCTAAAATTTTTGTGTTAATTATCTCACATAGCGTGGAAGTTAAAACTTCGGAATCAACCAAGAGGTGCTTGATGCAGTGCGGAAGTAGTAGCCTCGAAATCCACCAAGGACAATCTTCGAATCCACGAAGAGCTTCAAATCCACGAAGTAAAATTGAAGAAAATAAAGTTTTATTAATTAAAAGTTATGCACTCAAACTTTACCAAAAATAGTAAAATAATTCCTAAAACAGTAAAACTCCTAAAAAGACTCTTTATGACTAGGAAAAGTCCACCGATCAAATCTAAGATCAAATCGTATTTGTTTCCTAATCAATAAAGACTTCTTAAACATTACTAAAAATAGTAAAAATCGGACAAAAATACAAATATCTCTCAAACCGTAAGGAATTTGACGAAACGGAGGAAGCAAATCGAACCCTTTGGGTCAGTTTGGTCGGCTCCGTCTCGTCGAAATAGTCGATTTTCATATATAATTCGTTCAATTCCGACGTACGGTTTGAAAGTTATGACTGTTTCTTCGTAGCAAGTTATTTTCGTCGACTGAGCCCGCGTTTGAGCTTGCGACTGTCCTACTTTGACATAAACATGTCTGTCGTGTGTTCTACATCAGTGCTCTTCGAATCTACGAAGAATGATCTCCGTGTACATGAACTTCGAATCCATAAAGAAAAATAATATAAGAGCAATTTTTATTGATAAAAGTTATGATTATGGGGCTTACAAACCTCTGCTTAATTAGAAAAACAAAGTAGACTCCTACTAGGACAAAAACTAGCAAAAAACCACCCTACAAAGATTCCCTCAGAATAAGGAAATCAACTGATCAAATTTGGAATCAAACTAGATTTATTTGCTAATCAAAACAGATGCATGAAATATTATCCAAAATAGAAAAAACTAACAAAAACTTATATCTCTCAATATACGGATTTTACACAGAGCAGCAAATCAAATATGATTGGTTTGGTTGACTTCATCTCGAAAAAATATGTAATTTTCATTTAGTGTTCGTCCAATTCCAATATACGGATTGAGAGAGATGATCCGTTCTTCGTTGCAAGTAAATTTCCTTTGTTGGGGCCATGTTTGGGCTTCTACCAGTTCATTTTATCCATGAATGTATTTGTAACGCTACCAACCTTTAACCTTACATTAACCCACCTCTTCACATGAATTAGTTAACCCCTCCTTTAATTTTAATCCTTCACAATGGTTTATTAGTCCTTTGACCTAATTAACGCATTTGGAGAGTTAAGGAGGGATTAAAGCCCCCCTTAACTTTTTCCCTTATCTCTTTGCCAACTGGGGCCTTAGGTTTAACATTTTCAACATCACTTCACCTTCATGAATCCTTCTCATGTTTTTCAACATTTCCTCTGTCGGATCCTAAATCCATTTACTACAGCGTCGTTAAAAGATGACAGTTGGATCCCGCACAGAATTCACAAAATTAAAATATTGCTTACTTCTTTTATAAGCTTATTTTAAACTAATGCGTCTCATGCAGGATAAAGACACGAAACATTCTATAATCACCCCAATTGGCATTTCACAACTGCAATCACACGCATACTAATATTTGTTTCAAGGGAAAATTGCTTGGAGGAAGCAAAATAAGTTGGGCCAAGCATCCCCACCCCCAGCCCAACAACCATAACCCATTAGCCCTAAAATTAAAAAATATATGCAAGCAACCCCCAAACCCACTTCCCAAGAAAACCATTTCCCAAATTACCCTTCTTCCCAATTAAAACTCAATCCATTTCCTCCCCTTCTCTCCTGCTCCCTCCTCATTCGCACTCTCCTCCTCCACGACGCCCTCCTCGGCTCAGTCCGCCTCCTCCCCTCCCCTCCCCTCCTCCATCGCATCCTCTGCTCCTCCCCTTCCCCCCTCTTCCCCTCCTCCTCCCTCCTCCGTCGCATCCTCTCCTCCTCCCCCTTCCCCCTCCTCCTCGACCCCCTCCTCGGCTCCGTCCGCCCCCTTCCCCTCCTCCCTGAACCCCTCCTCAGCTCCGTCCGCCCCTCCCCTCCCCTCCTTCTCTCTCCTCATCCGTATCCTCTCCTCCTCCCCCTTCCCCCTCCTCCCCGACCCCTTGGAACCGGACCAACGGCCGAGACCACATGTTTGTGGCCTCCCATGATTACGGCGCTTGCTTTCATGCAATGGTGTGCGGTGCTTTTATGATTTTACATGAAAATTTTGAAATTTTTAGAGCGAGAGTTTGTGAAGTTTGGATTTTTTTTGGTTTTGTTTTGTTTTTGAATGCAGGAGGACGTGGCTATCGCCGACGGAATTCCTGAGTTTTTGCGGCGATCGATTCTGCTGCAGACGTTCGGGGTGACCTCGCCGCACGTGTGCCAGGAAGCGGAGCACGTGCTGATACCGCCGTACATACCGCCGGGGATTCTCCGATCTCCGCCTCCGGAGACGGCGAGGAGGGACATTTTCGTCTTTTTCCGGGGGAAGATGGAGGTTCATCCCAAAAACATCAGCGGACGTTTCTGCAGCAAGTAATTAAAGAGTCGATCCTTAATTAATGAACTAGTCCATGTAAATTTTCATAAAAGCCCTTCCTAATTTAAGCAGGGCTTCGTGGCTCGTCGTACCTGTGTATCTTCCCAAATTACTCTATTTGATGGGTTGAAATCATTTGGGGGATGATTTTGATATAATAATAGCTTAATTCTGTGTGACTTTTGGTGCCCATATGTGATATTTTAGTATGTTGTGTGACTTATGCTGCATTTAGTCACATTTTGGTATTTTGTGTGACTTTTGTGGTTGTTACGTGACATTTTAGTATTCTGTGTGACTCTTGGGGCCCATATGTGACATTTCGGTATTCTGTGTGACTTTTGGGGCTGTTATGTGATATTTTTACATTCTCTGTGTTATATTCTTGTTACTAGTTACATATCCTGCTATTAAGTGTTATGTTATATTTCTACAGGTATGATTATGGCATACATGCGTATTTTTTCATCAAGGCGATCCTCGAGGGAAGGGAGATAATGAACGTTGAAGCCTTGCACATGGAGTCGCATATGCTACGAGTAGGACTTGCTGCTCAACTCATATATGAAGGGCGTGAATGGAAAAAAACTACGGTTGAAATTAGACAGTGATGATCCAGAATATTTTTTGTACTTTGGGGGTAGTGATGTACCTATGATTGAGTGGAAGTATTAGACTCTACATGTAACTGTAACATTTGTTTAAACGCTATGATGTAAAGGATAACTAGTTTACTAGTTGTGTGTGACATTTGTTGGATTGTTGTGTGAGCTATATGTAAAGATATATGACCATTAGTATGATGTGTAACGTGTAACAGACAACACATAACTATTTTGGTATGTACCATTGATTGAGTGGAAGTATTAGACAAACACATAAGTATTTCATTTGTTGGATGTTGGATGTTTACTAGCTGTTTGTAAATGATAAAATGTGCATTTGTAATTTCTTGGTGATCTTTTTTCTTTAGCATATTAAATAGAATCTAAAAGTAAAGTTCTTATTGGTATCACTGTTAATACTAACAAGTCACACGAACAGGTAATATGTCACATTTAAGTAGCAAATATCACAACAAAAGGGAAAATGTAACATGTAACAGACAACAGTCACAAAAGAGTTTGAATTCTGCCAGGAAACGTTAATCTTGGATAGGTTTAGTGCATGTGGCTTAGTTATGTCCTTCAGCGTGATATCATATCGCAAATAGGAAGTGTTCTCGCCAAACGAATCCAATTATTGTAAGATTCAGCAATATTGGAAGTGATATGACCATATCTGTGTATAAGCGACGATTATTCATCCTTTCCATAAATTTGAGTATATGGTTACGAAAATTTACAAACAGCTAGTAACTGCTTACGCGAACATAACACAATCAGCTAGTAACTGGTTACAAGAACATAACATAAATTATTGTAAGATCACCAAGAATTTACAAACAGCTAGTAACTGGTTACGAGAACATAACACAATCACACCTGTAAAAATATAACATACCACAGCATACTAAAATGTTACATAACAGCCCCAAAAGTTACACAGAATATCAAAATGTCACATACAAGAAGCAAAAGTCACACAGCATACTAAAATGTCACATAACAGCCTCAAAAGTCACACAGAACACCAAAATGTCACATACAAGGAGCAAAAGTCACACAGCATACTAAAACATCACATAGCAGCCTCAAAAGTCACACAGAACACCAAAATATCACATACAAGGAGCAAAAGTCACACAGCATACTAAAACATCACATAACAGCCTCAAAAGTCACACAGAATACCAAAATATCACATACAAGAAGCAAAAGTCACACACCATACTAAAACGTCACATAAAAGCCCCAAACATTACACATCATACTAATGGTCACATATCTTCACATATAGCTCACACAACAATCCAACAAATGTCACACACAACTAGTAAACTAGTTATCCTTTACATCATAGCGTTTAAACAAATGTTACAGTTACATGTAGAGTCTAATACTTCCACTCAATCATAGGTACATCACTACCCCCAAAGTACAAAAAATATTCTGGATCGTCACTGTCTAATTTCAACCGTAGTTTTTTTCATTCACGCCCTTCACATATGAGTTGAGCAGCAAGTCCTACTCGTAGCATATGCGACTCCATGTGCAAGGCTTCAACGTTCATTATCTCCCTTCCCTCGAGGATCGCCTTGATGAAAAAATACGTATGTATGCCATAATCATATCTGTAGAAATATAACATAACACTTAATAGCAGGATATGTAACTAGTAACAAGAATATAACACAGAGAATGTAAAAATATCACATAACAGCCCCAAAAGTCAAACAGAATACTGAAATGTCACATATAGGCCCCAAGAGTCACACAGAATACTAAAATGTCACGTAACAGCCACAAAAGTCACACAAAATACCAAAATGTGACTAAATGCAGCATAAGTCACACAGCATACTAAAATATCACATATAGGCCCCAAGAGTCACACAGAATACTAAAATGTCACGTAACAGCCACAAAAGTCACACAAAATACCAAAATGTGACTAAATGCAGCATAAGTCACACATCATACTAAAATATCACATATGTCATTGGCTATTTCAAGGATAATTAAAGTTATCATAACTGACTTGTCAATATGTCATTGGCTATTTCAAGGATAATTGAATTTACGATAGCATTACGATGAGATTTTCATTTCTCAAATTTGAACAGGTCAAAAACACAGGTTTCTTTATGTATGAGTAACCAGATCAAAATAACATATGTCATATTCCAAGTGGACATATTATATGTTATATATATATCTATCACCATTTCAACTTTGGTCAAGCTTAAGAGAAACATTAATGAACCTGACTGATGCGGCATAATTATGTACCAAAATTGCAAGTGCACAATTTATCAAGTTATAGTATAAAAAGATATCGATCCCACGAAGAAGGTGATTTTAAGAGATTGTTAAACTTGGTTCTTATATTTTGTGCGTGACAATTAGGAATAAAGAATAAGTAGGGGGAAGGGGGAGGAGGAGAGGATACGGATGAGGAGAGAGAAGGAGGGGAGGGGAGGGGCGGACGGAGCTGAGGAGGGGTTCAGGGAGGAGGGGAAGGGGGCGGACGGAGCCGAGGAGGGGGTCGAGGAGGAGGGGGAAGGGGGAGGAGGAGAGGATGCGACGGAGGAGGGAGGAGGAGGGGAAGAGGGGGGAAGGGGAGGAGCAGAGGATGCGATGGAGGAGGGGAGGGGAGGGGAGGAGGCGGACTGAGCCGAGGAGGGCGTCGTGGAGGAGGAGAGTGCGAATGAGGAGGGAGCAGGAGAGAAGGGGAGGAAATGGATTGAGTTTTAATTGGGAAGAAGGGTAATTTGGGAAATGGTTTTCTTGGGAAGTGAGTTTGGGGGTTGCTTGCATATATTTTTTAATTTTAGGGCTAATGGGTTATGGTTGTTGGGCTGGGGGTGGGGATGCTTGGCCCAACTTATTTTGCTTCCTCCAAGCAATTTTCCCTTGTTTCAATGACAAGGGCACAAGGTATTTGACCTTTAATTGTGCAAATCAGCCTCCTCAATCGAGCGAAATTATTAAAAAAGTACTCGCTTTCAGATCAGCAGAATCAAATCTTGACTAGCTACGAAGAGGTCCAAACAAATTGAACTGGGGCTCTATGCATGCCCTTGTCTACTTCCATCCTTTTATAGGACAAATTTTCAAAACCGACCCTTTTGGGTTTTTAATTGCAAAAAACGACCGGTTTTGAAAATATTTACAAAAACCGACATGTTTTCAGCCAGGGGCTGAAAACAGGTCGGTTTTTGTAATTTTTTTTGGGAAACTTCACGGGAGTTGAACTCCCGTGAAGTTTTTCTCATAACAAAACTTCACGGGAGTTGAACTCCCGTGAAGTTTGGGAAATTTTTTTTTAAAAACCGACCCAGTTTCAACCAACTGGGTCGGTTTTTATAAATAAGATTGAAATGGGTCGTTTTTTGCAATTAAAATCCCAAAGTGGTCGGTTTTGAAAATTTGTCCTCCTTTTATTCTAATAAAAGACGTGCGCGCTATAACTTATATCCCAAGATTTTGTCAACTCATTTCCTTGTTATAAATACTCAATGCGCGAGGCTGCAAATCTCTTCATCGGCTAATCTTCCCTCTTGTCTTAATCTTCAATCAGAAAAAGAAGGAAGAATTGAAACAGCTAGAGAGGAAAATATGGGGACAGCACGTGTTAATAAGCTAGCTACCCTATGCTATTGCTTGTTCTCCTTCTTGGCAACTGAGGCAAAATTTCCGAGCCCGCCTCCTCTGAAAGTAGGGTTCTATCAAGACAAATGCCCATCGGCCGAGTCCATAGTTCGTGGGACGGTTCATAAGTGTGTGGCTAAAAGCCCTGGATTTGCCCCTGCAGGACTCGTCAGGATGTATTTCCATGACTGCTTTGTGAGGGTATGCGATGCCGAATCTTGATTATTAGTGTTTTTCCCCCCTTCTTCTAAAATTAATCCAATGTTTTACCCGAATTATTTTAACACCCATATAGACGTGTTATTCATTGGTGTAATTTGGGGGATAATAGGATAATTTTTGGAACATCACTTTTTGGTGTTATTCATTGGGGTAATTGGAATTGGTGTCAACTTTGTGGTGTTATTGGTTTGTTGGGGTAATTGGAGAACAAATACTCCATTTTCCCCTAAATTACACTAACTATATAAAGATCTTCTCCACCCCTTCCTCATAATTATCCCAAATTTACCCCATCTTCCATATTGGAACAATGTTGTTCCACTTTGAAGACAATTGGAATAATTTTAAAATATTTTCGTATTACTTAACTAATGCATGCTAATTATATTATAAATATATGATATGATATATAAAATATAACATATATTAATATTTTAATAACATAATTTAATAACATATATTAATAATATTATATAATAGTAATCATAGTACAACTAATAACACATATTAATAATATTATGTAATATATTACTATATAATATTAATTAGTACATTATATCTGACATACTATTATAATATAATATAATAATTACTAATATTAGTAAAATATTATGATATAATATAATATAATACTATAGT